ATTAAGTCTTAAAATCATGGGACATAAAATTCAACAGGGCCCAGTTCTTTCCTGGGCACGTTTTAGGTAGAAATACTGCTACCGTTTTCTATCGACAACTTCACGAGGCGTTCACGCGAGACAGAATTTCGTTGGCCACGCGGGACGTAAAACAGACTAAATACAATTAAAATAATTATTATATATGTTTACCGTCAAATCACATTAAAATAGTAGGATAAGATAATTAAAATGATTAAAATATCATCTTATGTTCCATATCGAGCATTCGATTTACATCGGAACATTCACTGTGAATGTTCCGATGTAATAATAATTATTTTAATAATAATAATTATTTTAATTAATATCACAATATGACCCAGCTATACTATCTCATAAATACAATTAATACAAATATTTAATTGAGCTGTGATGGTGCACCACTAATGAGGAATCATTGTCGCGACTGTGAGGTTACAGCCACTGGGATGCTAGTTCACTTCGTGTTACAATTTCTGAGATACGTGCCTCCATCATCAGGGAGATGAGACCCTGGATATGGACAAGTGGCAGGTTCTTGTGAAAAAGGGCGATATTTCTATAAAATACAGGGAATTTCTTGGTCATCTGTGCGACTACCAGCTTCTTAAAGACTCTACTCTATGGAGTTAATTTTTTTTAAACATTACATTTATACCAAAACTTTTATTTAAAGTGTAGTACCAATAGCTCGAGATGGTTTAAATTTTAACTAGTTACTATGGCTTGCGAGTATTCAACATGGGGGGGGGGCTTCCCGCAGAAAACGTTCATCATACCGGAAATTTCACCACCAACTCCTTCGGTGTTCTAATTTAGGCGCAATTTCAAGAGCTAGATGAGCGAAAAATACACCAACGGCATTACAGAATACGCTTTCGGACTCAGGGTCACGTTAAAATATTAAGGCACATATAAATGCGGTCAACAGTGGAAGAAACTTGTATTAATAAATGCGTTCCTGGAGCGGAAACTCATTTACCGTCAACACAAACCCACAACTAATCAAAAAGACGCATATGAAAACAAATTTTACGTCGCATATGCAAATTTATTTACAATTAAATATTTTTTTATGAAGTGTAGAAACAGATTTAAGCTTTGCGTAAAAGAATGCATGAGAATCATACGGGAAATATTAATTCGTCCAACAACTTTCAGTGGAGATCTGAATACGAAATTTAATCAAAATCCACTGGGTGGTTACGGAGAAGAAACACGGAAGGCCGGACATGCGTACGTAACATGTTCATAAGTTAATTTAATACAAATCGCTGGAACACTTAATAATACACACTTTCCAGCGACTATGACGATTGTTCGTAAGGAGATTTTTAATATCATTTTTAAAACAATGCACTACATCTGACATCTTCAATCCTCATGACTGGACTGAATGATGCTAGTGTTCAGCCAAAACGCTGGTCGATTTTCCACACACACAAACAGCAAAACCGAACAGCCACCTTGTCAATTAACTATCTCGCATTGCAGAGGAAAAGGTTCCTTCCTACACGGTCCGACAATAATTTTAAATTACTTTCCTCATACTATCTAAGATAGCCTCGGGGTTCTATAAAAATATGTCCGGGTCGCTTCCGTCCGCATCATTTCATTCGCCGTTAAACAATCTATGCATGAGACCAAGTGTCATTAAATAATTAAACAAACCTGTGGTTGATCCCCAGACAATGTATTATGAATTTTTGCATACATAATTCTGATGTCAATTATGCTACCTGAGCATTCATAAATCATCTTCAAAAGGTATTCGTATATAAAACTTTACAATACACACAAATTCATCCGGGGTAAAAACTATTGCTAGCTTCTCTATCCACGAGAATCAGTGTCCAGTTGTCGATATCTGGTCGATAATAAAAGAGGAAAGGGGGGAGGAGGGATTTAAGACTTGCGCCATTATACGTTCATTTGTTTTCTAAATTTTTCATGAGGAGTCGATCATAAAAGATGTATGGGTGGGCGAGGACGACTTGATGGGTGGGGGTGGGGTGGGGGTATAGTTTCATGCAATGTACAACAAGCTATGGCCGCAGACAGAAAGGGGTTGTGATAGGCGGTCGCCCTGGAGACCAGGCAAACTTTGACTTCACGCACGCAAACAGGTCATCAGCCGGTATGGAACCTTTCAGTTGAAAAACACCACGTGCCTGCGGGTTGCGTAACCAATATTATAATAATAACAACCCCTACTAAGATGCGCTTTCGATTAGTTCGCAACTTATGTAATGGAAACTGTTAACATCCTCAGTACGAGTTGAGGTTTTCACGGCGAACTGTTTAATTTTAAATTTCATTTTAACATGTACCCCTCTATGTCTAGGTCTATTTTATTTAGTGCTCTGTGTGACGACAGGTCCATATGAACAGGATCCTTCCATCCTTTTCTCGGACTGGGACCTGTTCATATACGTTCATGGCAGATGATCCAGAAGTGGTTTGCCATTGCCTTCTTCTGTGTGTGAATGGAGTAATTGAAACCGGGGAAGCCCCCGGAGGAAAACTCCGTGTTGCCTAGACCACGGCCTTGCCCAACACAAGTTATAAATTCGGGCACCGCCGGGAATCGAACCCGAGACCCCAGGATTACAAGGCCAGCGTTCTAACCGCTAGACCACCATGGCTAAAAATCCTGAAAATAACAAATTAAAAATGGCAGCTTGAAAGTATATGGCAAAATAGAAAATAAAAAACTTGTTTACGTAGGCGTATATTATTCCGTCTTGAAGTTAAACAAAATTAGAATTAAATCTTGAAATTATTCATTGTCAGGACTTTTCCCATCGTCTGTTTTTTTCAGTGACAGAGACTACATCTATCTAAGGGACCCAACAGAGTAGGTACCTCTCACCTGAAGACGGAGACAGAACCAGCCTCCGAAACGTCGTGGTTTTAAAGAACAGACTATGGAAAAAGTCCTGAGAATGAATAATTTTAAGTGAAAACTACTGTCGTCAAAACCCTTTCTTCTCTACCACATCCAGAACGATGGCGTACCATCCCAGAACCATCCAAAATGCTTTGTGGTCAGTAAAGGAACGCGGAATAAAAGATCCCACTCATTTACATGCAGTTTCACGATTTAAACCCCATTAATTATCGTCTGACCCTTACACAGTTCAAGAAAAACCGAACGACGGAAAGGGGTATCACTTTGTGATAAACCATTACGCAACGAAATTCGAAAGACGTTGAGGAAGTGCTTAGTGGAAATAAGTTACTATTCTCTTATTCTCGTCGCAGTGAAACAATTATAAACGTGTCGCATAACTTAGAGATAGCAAGTGTTCGAGGGTCGAACTGTTCCGGTTGATATGGGCCATCAGAGTTCCGATTATTCTGATCTTGTATATTTTATTAACAGCACGTGTTTATGACGTCACCACACAAATGTTAACGCAAATTTCAAATAAAACTGTACATTACAGCATATAAGTTTGGTCACTTTGGGACGACTAATTATATGTGGGTCCACGATTAATTTATGAAAGGGCCGATATACATATTTTTTTTCGCCGCACAAATCATTCATGTTGCACCTACCCCAGGTGACATTCGAACAGACGTTATGTTGACACTGTTGATGATGACACGGAGTCAAAATTCAATTACGGGAGTTTCCAATGGCATTTTCCTAACCAGCTCCAAGAAAATCAGGAGCTGTATAATATTTAATCAGGGTGAGGTGCAGCACACAACCTCAGAAAATTGTTCCAATTACCAAACTACTCTTTTGGAACTCTAAAATACGAGCAAGTGTAGTGGGAGACTGTAAATTCTTGAATCCAAAGAAAGGAAATGATGACAACTAAAAAAGGTGGTAACGTGGCAAAGAATCAACATTTTATTTCGTTGCTCAAAGAAACAGACTGCAGTATCATAAAATACAATATCGCTTCTTTGCCCCAAGGCAACACCCGTGACCTAAATTACAGAAATGGACGCGACTGTAAATGGCAACGATCGCTACTGTCCGTCATTTCCTTTGTGATGGCAACAGTAGTCCTGGCAACGCTTTGTTTACCGCGGGGGACACACGCCACCGAGTCGATCGCCAGTCACGCCCAGACAGCCGTCTTGTTTTATTAATCTCCTCGTCCCTTAACAGGTGGAAATAAGAAACGTACGCATAATTTGTGGGATAAACTGGCTCAGGAAAGTTGCCTCAGAGTGCGCCAAGACAACTTAACAATACACGAAACCAGTCGTTTCAAAATACATTCTTGGTGGTTTCGAGGCGTATGAGGGAGCTAAGGTACAGCTCCGCTCTTAGCTTCGGCTGCTTTATTTCCGGGGAAAGAG